AATTTTCTGAATGATTTGTGTATTTTATGTTTGACATCCCATGGGAATCGCCGAAAAAAAAGGATCAGATACAGACAAACGGATATCAGATTCGTGATCTAGGTGACAAGGATTTCCGATCACCCCCTTTGATATTATACTCTGTAACTTAAGTTTATCGTAGTAATATGAATACTCGTATCTATTACGATCTATTCTATAATATTATAGTAATAAAAATTAATCATGTCTCGTTTTTATAGAATAAAAAAAAACAGGTTTTTTAATGTAAATAATTATTAATATCGAATACATAAAACAAAATTGAAATGAAAAAAAAACACACATAATCTGTACGTATAAACAACAATAAAACAAATATTTTCTTATGCTGATATAATAATATCTCCATTTTGTAAACATGTGACTTTAGGTATTGTTGCTCGTTTTTTATTTGAATGTTCATTTGTTGTTGTTAATGATGCATGATCAATAAATGGATTAATACGTGTAAGTGATGGTGAACGAATTTGTAATGGTATTCGTCGTTTTTCATCAAGTGTTTGTTGTTGTCGATGAAAACGAGGTGATAAATTTGTTTCAGGTACAAGACCACGAACAAATGTTGATTTTGTTAATATATTTTCATAACTAACAGATGTTACTGTTGAAATCGGTTGTTGTTGTTGTTCTTGTTGTTTTGATTGTCGATGATAATTAATATTTGTCGATGAATCACTTGAAAGAGCTGTTGATGTTGATTGAGCAAATGATGATGATGAGACTTTATCTTCGCATGGTGTAGTTGATGCATGAATACGATGTGATCTTATAAGTATTATAATAATAAGTATAATAAGAATAAAAAATAATATTATTGCAATTGTTATAAAAATTAAAGTACGAATAAATACTGTTGTTTGATTTAAAGGACTAATTTGTTTATGTGTTGAAGATAAAATATTGTCAAATGATGTTGTTGCTGTTGATGTCATTATTGTCGAAGATAAAAAATATTCATCATCATCATGAATCTGTCGAGATATTGTTGATGGACGACAACGTTCACCATCACAATATGTACCTAGAAGAAATTTGTTTATTTTTTTTAAAAAGTTCAATCATTTATTTTAACCTGTTGGACATTTTCTTATATTTGATCCAATTATTTGATCATCATCAAATTGACATTGTCCAGTTGGTTCTAATTCACAATCAAATACTCCATTAATTTTTCTTACTTTTCGTGTTAATTTTGGACAAAGACAATAGGATGTTTCACTTTCATCACACCATCTTAAACAACGTCTTGGAAATTTTGTACAATTACTTTGATCAATTGAATCTGTACATATACGTCCAATACTTGAAATATCAATCGTTGAAATATTATCATGATAACATTGACATGTTTGTGTTAATTTATCGCAACGTATAAGATCTTTAACAGAATATGAATGTTGACAATCTTCATCATATTGACATTTTGTATTTATTGATTTTTCATAATTTATTTTTAAATTAAATGTTTCATTTGATGCTGTTAAATAAACTAATTCTTGTGAACAATCATATGCTTTACATGAACGAAGAGAAATTTCTCCTTCAAAAAAAAAAACATACGAATTCATTTATTTTTCGATTAAAATACAAACCTGGTTGTAGAAATAAAACGGATTGCATACCAAGATCTGTTATATTCATAACACTCGATTGTGTTGTCATATATTCTGCTGTTGATAAAAATTGATTCGGATTTTTATTTTGTCTCATTGTATATTGACATTCTGTAAATGTCAAATTTATAGGTTGATGAGCACACTTTATTAATAAAGGCACAAGTAACATCCAACGATTGCCTAAATTATAAATAAGTGTATTACTAATATTGTTCTTTTGACCCAATGAATAATAACCAATAAAATTAATTGAATTTGAATTAAGAATATTTGCACCAAGTGATATATAAAGATTTGAATCAAATACACATTCAGATAATACAACAGATGTACGAATATATGGACAAGAAGCCAGTATTTGGCCTATAACAAGATGAAGACAAACAAGGAACAATCGAATAAACATGGCATGGCGTATGTATTATTTACATTATAATCTGAAAGAATAAAAAAAATATAGAAGTAATAATAAAGTAAAAAAAATCGATTAATGTTCATTTGATTTAATAGGTCACACACAGTCGGTGTCCAGTGTCAATGGCACCGACATATAAACAATAAGCAGACTTACTACCATATATATATATACATATGTGTGTATGTATGTATAAGATATTTCAATATAAAATAATGCGATTGAAACAGTATGGGCGTCATTCAGACGTAGAATAATCTCCTCCTCTCTCATCATCATCATTATTCTATCGCAATTAACACACTATTGACGTGATGAATGTTTCTCATCATATGCACACTTCATGCGAATGATGCAGTTTGATTCTCATTTGTTTTCGTTTTCCTACTGTTCATTTCACTCTTACGATAGATAAACTATTTATTTTATTCAATGTTCTATTAGATTGACTTTCACTTACACACACGTATACTCACAGACATACACGCACACTCTCTTTGATTCTATCTAATCGTTTTGTCTGAGACATTCTCAAAAAAAAAAGAAAAAGAAATAGAATCTTTTTTTAATTCTACTAATGAGAATTATACATATATACTTGCACTGTATTAAAAAAATTTTTATAACGAAACGTAAAAGAAATCAATATTGATTAAATTGTTTAATAACGTATATTAATAAATGAAATTTTTGTATTGCAGATGGATGTTGAGTTGGATTAGAAAGTTAATGTATCAACAAGAAAAGAAAGTTTGAAAGAAAAGATGAACATGTTGATGTTATTTGTACACTGACCGAATGAATGGTTCACTTATTCATGAGTGCTAATAGGTCCCTGTCTGTATGACTCGCAATATGGTAGTATAGTGATGATTGTGGATAATCGTCTCAAATTTCCGCATTGCTCTTATTCTTTCCTTTCTCCAGCATTTACATCATACGTACATACATATATAAAAGCGGATAGATAGTCTCTCTTTCTCTCTCTCTCTAGTGTCTGAACGTTGTTTGTACAAATCACATGAAAGATAATCACTTTGTGATACATACATACATACACACACATGCAGTTATAGTTTTTTCTTCTACGTCTTTCTTTAACGTAGCATAGTAAACGATGCTAATTACTAGATCTATCCTTTTTCCTGTTTCAAGATGACACATTCTCATAAGGAAATGTTTTACCTGTAATTGACAATTGAATACTTGAACATCTGCTTTATATGCCTCTGGCAATAATAAAACTAAAATGAACAATGCACTCTTTTTTTCGTCGGAAAAGATTACGTTGATTGACAGTTATAATATTATATGACGACATAATTCATTTGATAAATACAGGGTATTGTTGGTGTTTTGCTAATGTTGGCACATCACATTATACACTCTTCATCTATAAATGTATTGCCTCGAGACACTTCAATGTAATGTGGCACTGATTATGCAACTAAGAACAACAATATGTATGCTATATAATGTATGTGAACGATCACTTCTAACAAGATTGATTTTCTTTCTCTGGAAACATAGCTAAATAAATATTCCATTGACTCACGTACGCGCTTTTGAAGATGAACAAGACAATGTTTATGATTTATGTGTCTATAGATGATCATCATTTATTGTTTTTCTTTTAAGTGATACTTCTATTCAAGAATCTAAAAGTATTCGATGTCAAAGAAACTCATCATTAAATGAGGGTCATGGCCGATTTGATTTGTTGTTGTTTATATGATATTATAAGTATACATGTATGCCGATAAGATTCATTGATCTATGTATATTTTCAGATGCGAGTCAAATAAACGTTAGATATTTTTTATAAGATAATCATATGCAGTAATCTGATCTAATACCTGTTATTGAGCTTTTTACTCGTATTTCATATATATATATGTATATGAACGAATCAAATCCTATAATTGATTAATATCCTTATTTGAAGATAATATATAAATTAGATATTTATTATGACATTTTCATTACAGAATGTTAATGATAAGAAAAAATATGCGTAATTATTTTATTCATCATCGAAATTTACACCAATAATTAATGCACGTTGATATCCATCGAGTTTTTCTAATGATATTTTAGGTAAATTATACGTAGAACCTACATAAAAATGAGAATAAATTTTTCAGATTAATCTTTTTTTTTGTCTTACCACTTTTACTTGATTCGATTATCTCAGTACTCCAATGATTTGTTGTACCATTATTTTGTACTATGAGTTTTCTTTGTTTTCGAAATCGATCTATTGTTTGATCACGTACAAATGTCGTCGGACTCATACTGATATAAGCCACAATTCTTAGGAAATCAATTGATTGAGTTTTTAATCGTTCGTCATAAACAAATGCAGAAGAATTACAATGTACAAGACGACTATCCCATAGGACAAGATCACCAGCTTGACATTGAATAAATCTTCCAATAGCACGACCACTGTCAAGAATCGAATGAGTATTTGGAATTACAACGAAATCTTGTGAACGATGTTTAAGATCTTTTAATTCACTGAAACGTAAATGAGTATATGGGAAAACGATAAGACCACCAGTAGTTTCATTTTGATCCGTTAATGAAACAAAACCTTGTATACAACAACGATCTGGTTTTAAATATGGATTTTGATCAACATGATACCATCCTGTTGTTGTTTTCCATTTTGGTTCATAATACCAATTACGATACACTCCACAACCTTCAAATGAAACTAACAGTTCATTTGTATTCCATATATTAGAATAGACTCGTTTTATATTTCGATTGGAACGAATATTCCACATAAAATCTGATTGACCAATACCACCATCATTAACAATACCAAATCGATCACTTCCAGGCCTAATAAAAATTTAAAAGAAACGATAAATAATATTTATGGCCTTCCATTTTTCTTACCAATTATTTGACCATGTTGTTGGGTCATTACGTTGAATATGACGCCCGGGAATGTTCTCTAAAAAATTCCATAATAATTCTTTATTGATATTAATTTCATTTGGTAACATAATATCACTAAAAATTGCATAACCATGTTCATTTAAATGAGTAATGCCATCATTAAGACTATCTATTTTTGTTACTGAAAAACGAGGCGTTAATGTTGTATAATCAATCTGTATATCATTTTTGTCTAAACTATAATTTATTTCATTACTTTCAGTCATGATGAATTGATTGAAATGCCTAACTAATTCAACTTACCGATAATATATATATACATATAAATAATAATTTCAACATTACTTAAAAGACTTGCGTAAGAACAGATGTGTCAGGGGTAAAAAAATAGTTATTTCGCAATACAGGTGTGATGTGCAAGCGTGATTCAAGCAGAAACGAAACTCCTGAATTTCAACTTGAGAAAAAAAGCTGGATCTAGATCATGAAGCACCTTTAAAACATGATAGATTACATTTGTTCAATTGTAATCATGAATGATCTATCGCTACAAAACTATAGTTGATACTTACTTTTTGTTGTTGATGGAGTAATACGAATTACATAAGTTTTTATTTTTTATTAAACGAAATGAAAAAAAAACAATAATAATGAAAAAATATCTTCTTCTTTCTTAAACTCCTGCTTTGTTGCTAAACTTTTTCGAAAGAAGGATAACGTGAGAAAAACTACATCACGACAAAAAACGAAAGAAGAAAACAAAATAAACCTAACTAACAAAACAACGTTAAAAACTAACATGTTTAAAGTCTTTTCTTTCATATACTGTTTTATCTATTGCCATGTTTCAGTGTATTCAGCTCTATTGATGCCTTTGTCATCAAGTAAGCTAATTTTAACATTATCACCTTGACCGGTACTAGCCCATGCTGATATTGAAGTTGCAGTAAGACGGCCAGTTACTATTGCACTGCTTCCAGCATTTTCGACTTTATTAGAATAGACACGTACACGTGTTCTAGCTTTAAGTACGTATGAATCAGGAAATTGAAATGTATTTTCTTCTCCATCATTAACAGTACGAACAATTGTCCATCCTTTGAGTGGCTGATCAACACAATTGGTTGCAGCATTATTTATTGAAATAAAACCTGCTTGAACTTGATCAATATCAAATTTACCTAAAATAATATTACATGTTAATATTGAACCTTCTCGAAAAGCATTCTTATTAGCTGCTTTTTTCATCTCACCAGTTTTTGATATAGAACGTTGTGATTCAGTTTTTTTTACTGTCATTATTGATTTTGCCAATTCTTCAATTACACTATTTTCTTCTTTACCATTAATAACTGGAGTATCAACATTAGTTTTTATATTTTTATCATTTTTTTTAGTATTTTTATCGTTACTATTCGTATTTTTATCATCGATAATATCATTTTTATCATTACTATTCGTATTTTTATCGTTGATAGTAACATTTTTTTCATTCATAGTAGAATTTTTATCATTCATAACAGAATTTTTATCATTAATAGTAACTTTTTTTTCATTAACAGTAGCATTATTTAGTGTTGTTGTTGTTACAGTTGTTGTTACAGTTGGTGTATTTGTTGATTCTAAATCTAATAATCTTCTGTATGTTTCTAATTCAAAATGTACAGAAAACCAATATTGTTTTCCAACTTCAATTGCTTCTGTTAACTGATTTATTTCGCTTATTAAACGAGTATATTCAGTATCAAGACGAATACGTTCTTCATCAAGTTGATTTTTTTCTTTTTGTTTTGTTACATATTGATCGATTAATGGACGATACTCATCTTCAATACCTTCACGTGTTTTTTCAATTTGTTTAAGTTCTTCATGTAATGTTGCAATTGGAACTCGAGATGTTGATACTGTTTCTTGTGGTTTATTTGCTTGATATGTTGAAATTTGTGTTTTAACTTGTTCAATACGTTCTGTATAAGCATTTTCAAGTATAACCTTATTATTCTTTAATAATAATTGAAAATCACGTTTTATATCTGTAATAGCATTATCCAATTCAACTGTATAAAAATATTGCTGTTTAAGTTGTTCATTAGCTAGAAAAATAAAAATTCCGATTAAACTGAACCAATATGCACATTCTATTTATTAAAGACTACTTACCAAGATCATTTTTTTCCGTTTCATAAACTGCTTTTGTTAATAATGTTTGTTCTTCAATAGTACGAAGATTACATTCAAGTCGGATATTAGCTAATACAAGATCATGTAATTCATCTTCAAGTTTTTTATATAAATCAGTCATTTGATTCATTTCATTTTTATTTGCTTGAGAAGTTTTTTCTAATTCTTCAAAACGACGACTTAAGTCTTTTAGTTGGACTAATGTTTGTTTATATTCATTTTCTAAAGCTTGACGTCGATTTGCATATGTTTGATCTTCTTCAGTACGAATTTTATCTTTAAGTAAAGCTAATTCTTTTAATACCCGATTACGTTTACGAATAAAATGTTCAGTTAATACAGCTGATTCATCGATTTCATTTCGAAGATCATCCATTTGTGTTTCAAGATCATTCGTATCACGTTTTTCCAAATTTTCTAAATTAAAAATTTTAGAAAATTATTTTTAAAATAAAAAAAAAAGATTATTGTTTTACTATGTTTTTGTTTTTCTGCATCGACTTTTACTTGTAAATCTTCATTTTCTTTAGTTTTTTTTCGTAATGCAAGAACATAATTTGAAAAACGATTATTGAGTTCGTCAAGTTCATTTTTCTGATCACGAATAAGTGATAAATGATCTAAACTATTTGTTGGTTCATTATTTAAATTTGTTTTTTTTGTTGTTGTTGTTGTATAATGATTGGTTGTTACAGTATGATAGGAATTAGAAAGTGGAACCTTTTCATCTGATGTTGGTATTGGTGTTGTATTTGTACTATTTCCAAGGGGTGTTGTCTGTGATTTAATATTATTTAAAGCCTGTTGTTGTTGTTGTTGTTGTTGATGATGTTTTTCTTTCTTGGAAGGCATGATAATCTCGAATGTGTTTTCGTATGTTAAGAATTTTGAATGTGTTCGTTTTCTTTCTTATTCTTCTTTTTATCGACTATAAATATATGGACACATGTTAAATGTTCGATCTAGGGTTCATATAGATTTACTTTATTTCCATTATCATATGTTAGAATGTATATAAAATCAGCTGAATGATAGAGACCATTGTTTTATTACAAAAGAATCAAAAGATGTCTATGTATGTAAGTTAGCTAGTTTCGACTGAATATACTTTTCAGTTATCATAAACGCCGTGCAGATATGCCTATTTGAACTATAGGCTTTTGTTTTGAGAAAAAGCATTCAGTACGTTTTTTAAAGAAAGGCTATTTTTGAGTACATTTTGTTTATAGAGTACAAGGTACGAATTTAAAAATATCAAATTATGTATTGTATTAATTTATAAAGCAATAATTCTTTCTTGTTGGACAGTTTGTAAATAATATTTGTCTTGAAATTGAAATATCGATAGATCTATCGTGTTCACTAATGCTGATTTTATAATAAAAAAAAAACATCAGTTATTACCAAAAATAATCATAATAAAGAAATTTTGTTATAAATAAAATGAATATACTAGTTATTAACAATACATAAAATCTTAGTATAATTTATTTAAAATTCTTCAATATAATAATCTATAATTTATTCATATTAATGTTTACTGTAATATATTGCATTAAATTATATGATCATGAGCAGTTCGGAGTACTTATTGAAAAATATTCGCATACCATATGTATTCATATTTTGCTTCCATTTACAACATAAAATGTATTACTGAACAAAGCACGTTCAATTCTCATTGTTATGCATTTGAATAGAATTTTAATAGACAGGCCATATAATTATATTCTACGTTGTAGCATGCTGCAATTCAGCATGATAATAATTTATCAGGTTTGCAAACAATTAAGAAATTGTTGGGAATAATAAATTGCCATACTGAACATTATAAATTGATGCTTAAGATAAAGTATGTCTATGATAAGAATTACAGAAATACAATAATGAATCGATAGTTTATGTATAAGAAATGAAAGATGTGCTTACAGTTAAATAGATGATTGAATAATAGAATGTATGTTTGATTTGTTTTTCTTCAGTCCTCTTATGAATGATTCAGTTTAAAATAAGACGGGAGAATTTTGTTGACGAATATAGATGGTGGAGAAGTAGAATTTTAATCTTACGAAATCGTTATAATAATGAAATATGAAAGTATTAAAGAAACTAATAGAATTTTAAAAAAATGATATTAATATTTTTAATTCATTGTGTTGTTTCAAGAGAATTCATGACTGCATTAATACTTGTACTTTCATGTGAAATATAGGTCTTACAAGGCATGGTCCTAAGAATTTCAGTGAAAATAATATAGATTTGCTAAGTCAGGTTTACCTATCTCAAGCGTGAATTAATTAGGTATTTTTACTGAACCAGTGGAAAATTATAGGCGAAGCTATTTTCAAAAATTTCACATATATACTTCATTATACAGGCTCTTTTTCTTTGAATTTTTTTCTTTAATCATGATGATTCAAGCCGCGTCATATACCGTTTTATAGATTAGAAATAGTTCTACATAATAATCTTTGTTATTTATTTGCTATGAATTGTTGCAGAGAAACGATCAACTAAATATCTGATAAATACCCAAACATATGAGCCTGTTTTCGTAAAATACTCTTTTCTTTTTTTAAGATACTCTGCTTGGGCATAGGCTATCACTACCATATGCTTTAAAAGCTACATTAGTTTTTGCATCAATGGGTATAGCGCATTACTCGTTTCATAACAAATAAAAAGTTTTTTTTGCATTAATGTTTGTGATCATCTACAAATAAGTGGTTAATGCAGATAATGTGATGAAAATAGCTGCCGCAAATGGAAGAAAAATACACAACACGAACATTCTGGAACCCATACGAATCTTTTAACATATAGCCATTGGAATACTAGGCATAGTTGATCAAACGTCAGAATGTCCTAGCTGTCTGTTGATATAAACAATCTAGAGTGATATAACAGAAACATATAATAACTAGGGAGAAAATATACTAGAACTTTTTTAAACTCTTAAAATAAAATCTATATAAAGAAGCATATGTTTTTTTTGGAAGGTGTTTCACTTATAATTCTCCACCTGAAATAGATATACGTGACTTAACAATCCCACATCATTTTCATTGAAATCTCCAAGGCAAACCTAGGAACCTCCTCTCTTAAGTAACAATAGGTTCATAAGACAAACTGAGACAAAATCTATTCCTCTTGACTACTTGATAAATTTATAAATAATAACTGAAAGCTCTTGTATGATTATGCATAATAGTTGATGTCTTTGATCACTTTATTTCGAATATTAAAAAGCGAATTGTCGAATATTCACATTAAGATCTTAGAAAACTTTTTAGACTTTACATTGTAATTACCAATTCTTTTGTTTTTCCCATGAACAACAACGATGAATAAATGAAGAACACGTAGCATATCGAAATAACTATAATATTCGTTTTATATTACTATTAATAATTTGATATTTTAAATCTTCATGTTCTAACATTTTAAAATAATAAAATTCTTAATAGGAAATATTATTCTTTGATGTTTATGTCTCAGAGTATGCCATGAATGAGGGTGTGGGTGTGAGTCAGATAAATAAGATACACCCTCACACCCACATTCACCCTTGACAAGAAATATTGCATTTTCATGTAAAAAATCATGAGATATTTATATATAATAACGCACAAAGGAAATATCGAGGGATAAAATAAAGATGGCTTTTCCTCTTCATCCTTTATAGTCAACAATAAACAATACCGAGCAATATCTTTGTTATTCATATGTTCTGATGGTTAAAAGTAAGAGGTCACAAGTACAAATACTTAGATAAAATTATGGAAGAAAGAGAGAAAGTAGAAAAGAAATGATTCATTCTATACTATTTCAATTTTTACACTGACGCTTTCATGTATTTAATTAATCTACAGCATTAGATAATTAATAACTGATAGTTTAAATAAATTACTAATAAACTATTAATCTACTGCTCATACAATACTTTGACTTTGACATTATTTTTGTTCCTGATCATTTCAATTATTATACTGACCAAAAATTAAATTCCCATTTTAAAATAATAAACTTCTTAATAGGACATATTGTTCTTAGAGTATTTTGTCAAAATATCACAATTACATTCGACTTTCATGTTTATGTCTGAGAGTCTTTCATTAATGATATATGATAAACAAACCAGATATTGTAATCTCGAAAAACGATTCTCTTTCAAAGTAAGGTAATCGGTAGATCACAATATGTTCAAAAGTTTAATAAACATTACCATTCTATTTTTAGAATCAATATAGTACACTGCATGTATCTATGTACTATGTAACAACAGTACTAAAAACAAATTTAATTACTTAATTATAATAGCACACAATGAAGTACTATATTTTTCCTTGTTACGCGTCTTTGAATTTTATTATAATACTCGTTTTATTGAACGTCATATTTACTTCGATGAATAATAAGAAATGAATTTCAATCGTTTCTTTTATTAGCCTTTTTGAAAGATATAACAAAATACAAATAATGATTAAAACTTATATATAGTTTACTAATTCAAAGCCAATGAATCTGCAGTTTTTTCGACAATAATATTTACCATTTCAGCATGTTGTTTACTATGATTTTCATGAACTCTATTGAGTAAATCTAAATAATTCTTGACTAGACGATTTAAACGTCGTACAGCTTCAATAAATCCATATTTATAAACTAAATATTTCCATAAAATAACAACAAATATATCTTGAACATGAGTAAGAATCATCGCACTTGTTGTAGATGTATATGATAAACTAAATATTTGTTCAGATGAAATAATTGAACAATTACTAGAAAATACTAAAATAATAAGCAGCATTTTTATAAGTGTTGTATCTGATTCCAATCGTCGCATAACTCGTTCACTTTCTTTAACATATTCTGCTCCATAAATTTCATTACAATTTAAAATATGTGCTTCATTATCAAATACATTTGCTTGGAGAGCTCCAAATAATGAATTAAATGCTCCTGTACCATTTAAATTATTATGTATAAGAACTTGACGAACAACTATTGGTAAATCATGAAAATAAGGAGAACGTTCTATAAATGGTTGAATAGCTGTATAAAATAAACCGACTAAATCAAGTGTACTAGATTGTTTCGAGCGAAGTTTAAGTGGTAATGATGATTGTTCTTGAAGTGCATGTTGTATTCGTATAACAATATTTTGCTCATCATAAGCATGAACAATATTCGATAAAATATTCCATTCATCAAATGTTAAAGTCGAATGATCTTTAGATAAAAGACTAATGGTTGTAGGCTATGTAAGATAAATATACAGAATATCAATAAAATCATTTAATTAAGGTAACCTGAGGTACATAAGTCTGTTGTTGTTGTTGTTGGAAATTTATATAAGCAGCTGCTCTTTTAGTTGTACCACGCAGCACTTTTGGATCCATACCAAGAGTGAAACATTTTTTTAACCGGCAAGCTGAACACGCGCCACGCGTTTGTTTGGTTATAATACAATCATTATTAAGTAGACAACGAGATTCTTTCTAATTAAAATAATATTAATAAATTTAAGATAGAAATATAAACTCACCGAAGTTTTTAATACCTTTCTTCGAAAAAATGCTTTACATGACATACATGTTATAACTTCAAAATTCATTCCACGCGCCACATCACCACATACAAGACAAATTAATGGTGGAGGGAATGTTTCTTTCGATAAGATTTTCTTAGATTCCATGAATAAGAAAACGTATGTGAACTATATGTCAACGTTTGAATCTACTGTTCGCTCTTATATTTTAATATCAAAGTTCAAATTTCTTTGCCTTACTTCACTATTCTATATATTTGTTACAATTCTTTCTTTTCTCTCATTTTATTTGTGCTTCACTTACATCATCATTCGTAATGTTCTAGATGCACTTTATGAAATAATCTTTTTCGTTCTTTTAATCCGGTAACAATGACATGCATATTATACAGTCCCCACCTACTTTTACCCTCTCATAAATAACAAAGACAACATACGTATTTATCATTTGTTTAAAAATTAGCACTGATATCGTATATGTTTATTAATATCAGCTATTTTTCTTATTCTAAAGTAAGATTTAACACAGCTAATATAATGCACTTGTTGATCTATTAAATTAAAGAAAAATCAATTCTATTCCTAATATATAAATACGACACACCCCCATTCATACCTTCAATTACTGGAAACTTTGATACATTATTGAACATATATAGAACTAGCTTTCACACGAAATGAAAAATAGGAATAATATCGTCAATTTAAAAAATGAACTACTAACTAAAACTGATAAGATTATACTTTCTATTAGCGAATAGTATGGAAAATCTATTTCAATTAAAGTAGCGGCAGAGCTAAATGATTTATAAAATGTCATTTATCAAGAAATTGTGTTGCAAAATTAGTTGATGTTTTACCTCTAAAGAGCGTTTGAGATATATTGAAAGTAAAGTTACGAAGATAAGCATACTGTAATATGATATGATCCCAAAAGACTTGGAATAACTTCAGTATTGGTTTGTATAAACAAATCATTCTAAAATGTAATATACGACTATGTTATCACAGTTCTTTATCGACAGTAAAGCAATGGTTTATACTCTAAATATATGTTCAGTAGGATTGGTCCAACAATATTTTTTATAGTTTTTGAAGCTAGTAGAATTGTTTCATGTTCTTCGTTTGTTCCGCTTGGTTACAGACGATTCATTTGTAAAATTATTTGTTTTTCTTCTCTAGAAATAAACTAATCTTAAAGGTGATAATGGATCTTTTCTAATCAAATGGAATAATATCACAAAGTACGAAAAATAGATACAATACTTTCGGAATTATTGTGAAAGTATGAAAAAAACTTCATGATCAGCTCCATGATATTATCAGTCATCCAATGTTTATGATTAATTCAAAGATTAAGCACGTATATTATCGGTTTATATATTGTGAAAAATTAGTAAGAGAATACAGCATTTATAAATTGAATGCTAGATTATCTAAGCGATTGTAAAAGAAATAATGTAATACTTAAAATTAATGTCACTACTAATTTTACTTGATGTATGATAATCTTATAAGATCAATATTTTTGCACTTTGTTCGATTAGATATGATCATTTCTTCCGTTTCAAAATAAAGTTTTATAACGAAATCAAGCTAAAACATCTACCATTTTATTGCTACTCATAAAGTTATAAAGAAAGAAATTGAAATAGCAATATCGATAAGTATATTTAAAATATTTTCATGAGTGTAAGTTGCTCATTGTAAAACAATTACGAACGAGTTTTCTCATTATATTTCTTTTCTGAATATCAACTGTTGTTATGTTTAGACATAAAATATTTGTTTATCATATGGTACAAGTAATCAACATATGTCATTATCTTTGCTTCCAGCGATTGGTATAAATATTTGAAGTGGAGAAAATTACCTGAATTATTCTTTCATTGAAATATGATATATATATAAGCTGTGATAAAGAGAAATTTATTTTATTATTTAATTTCATCAACATCTACTAAATTTACTTAATTTCAAACTAGACACTCATTCCACAAAAGACAATATGGTTACGATTAAAAGGAAAAAAATAAACGTGTAAGGACTAAACTCATTTCAGCAACATTCTCTTGTTAAAAATTAAAAAGAAAATTCTTTAAACTGTTCGACAAAAAAACTTGAAAAGTAGCAGGAAAAAAAAAGGTCACTACAAGAAAAGCAGTAATACAGAAAAACACACTTAGACAACAGCACTGTTCTTTATTCGACTATGTTAATTTTTTTTTCTCTAATAATATTTGACACACGGAAGATTAAATTTAATTTTCTCCAGCATTAGTACGTGAATTAGTACCGCGTTGCTTTTTTTGTGGTAAATCTTTAACATAAATTTGAAAACGTGTTAAAGCTCGGCCTGTTTTCTTATCATAATGAATATTTTGACCATAAACACGGCATATAACATTAATTAATACATTCGGTTTTGGTTGTTCGAATTGAACCCAAATGTATGGTGCTTGATAAACATTTTTACGATCAGATTTTCCGCTACGAAAATAAAAAAATATTCACCTATTTATATATATGTACAATGATTTTCTCTACATACTGATATGGAAACCATTTAGTATTAAGTGATCCACATTTTCGATCTTGACCTTTTTCAGACATATAATTTATAGGTCCCATATTATCAACATCAGCGGGATACTACAATAAAAAAAAGAATAATTTGATTTTTGTTTTCTTATAAATTATAATTACTTCTCCTTGGCAGTGTACTGCAATATCGCTTGGTTTAGGTCCACATGTGCTATTTCCTTTCTCCCCTGGTGCATAACCAGGTAAGGGTTCAAAACCAACAATCTAATGAAAATAAAAATATTCATATAAATATCTTTTCAATATTGTAGTTTACTTTATTCATTTTAACAAGTACACATGGTTTTCCATTTTTATAACCATAATCATTACCTGATACGCAACCACCTGGATTTGCAATGTTGAATTCTTGAACTGCTGATGAATCTCCTTCTTCCTCTCCATCCTCATTTGTTGCTTTACGTTCTCCTTGTTTCCAATAATCTAAATAAATAATTATCGTAAACATAAGAACTTATGATTTGTACTTACAAATTTGAAGATATTGATCGAGACTTTCAGCATATGGACTTTTACCCTCGTTGTCTGAAGTTTTATCCAAAAAGATTAAATTTTTATCTACATCTGGTTGAGGTCGAAAGCCGAGACCTAAAAGGCAACAACAAAAAAGGATTTTAAATGAAATTTTTCTAAATAAATATTCAAACCAGGTGCAAGTGGATTTGATCGAGTTTCCATACGCGATTCATCCGTAGTATATCGTGGATGATCACGTGGTGTAAAAGCCATGAATATCGCTAACATTGCACAGAAAAAACCGGCCAAACCAATGTAGAAAAAGAAATAAAAAACACCTAATTTGCCTATTAGAAAAAAAATACAACACATTTTATTTAATTGCTCTGTAAATTATATTTATTTTAGTTTACCCCATCCAGCTCCATCGCGGCCAAGAAATTGTTTTCTTTTTGAATCGTACACTGCACTGCCTAAACCAGATAATTTACTGCCCATTTTAATATCTCTGTTGTATATGTGGTATCACTTATCTAAAAGAAAAAAAACAACTTATTCTTTCGATGCTGATCCGATTTCTTTCTTTTTTTTTTGCTTCGACCAACGATTCACGATAATAATAAAAAAAGAAATGCAATTCAACGAACGTCGAATAAAACAGAGAAAAAAAAAAGAAAGGTGTTTTATGCCGATGCATTACGATCCAGTGTATACGGTTTATCATGCAGAAAAAAGAAAAAAAAAACGAGAGAAATAAATCATTCCTCTTTTATATACGAAGCCACAATATAAAAAAAAATTGTTTTTTTTTATTAAAGGCCAATGATTCTATCGGTTGGTTGTTATTCTCCTTGGAAGCGAAGGAAAAAAAAAGTCGATGTCGAAGAATTGTAGGAAAAGATAAAAAAAAAATTTTATATTTTGTTATTTGTATTAATATTTAAATAATAATCATCAAATAAAAAATAACAACAAGAATGACTGCAAGTTATAGTCAGAATTATTAGGGTTTATGACGTAAAAGAAAACATTCAAGGTCAAACATCAATCATAGAGAACTTTTTTTTCGCTAAAATAAATATCTGCCATCTTAACTCTTTTTTTGTTTATGGCATATAACCCTTATTTTATGATTGGTCAAATTAAGGTTATATAACCAACGATACTATCATTTAGCGACATCTTACAGATCTTCTAAAAAAAATATACGCATGCATTTTTATTGTCTAAATGTACCGAGGAGATGAATAATGACATTTTCTTTATACTCTAATCAATGAGTATAAAACTTTGCAACTTAATAATATTAGAGTTTGATCACCAAGGCAACTGTTGTTTTATATATTTTTGCAGTTTATAATTATAATTGTATTCCTCAATATCATGAAAATAGATTGAGCAAAGTAAACGGTGTTAAAAGAGAAAATCATTGTTCGATGTCATGTGTATTTTTTAGTTAAATACAATAGATCATCAACTGATATGAAGATCTTGGATCTTTCTAATATTATTTAAAAAAAGTTAAGACGAATCTTAATACAGAGATATTCGAAATTTGTTTTGTTCAACCTATATAAATCTTCCATAATGAATTTGAATAGAAGTTTTCAGTTTACTGCACAGAGATTACTTATGACTTATAGCAAGTCAATTTTTTATTATGCTTCAAGTTTGAGAAATACATATTTTTTTATTTTCAGATGAATTAGAAAAATACTGGCTGTCAGGATTATAAATATGAAAGAAAACCTAGATTTATATGAATGATGTAAAACAATTCAAAATAAAAAACCTATTTAGAAAAAATGAACGAATATCTCTAACTCGTGATACCTTTTCCTAAGTCGTAAATATGACAATATACATATAAAAATAAATATTTGTCGTTTGATATTATCTCTAAGTGCTAAAATAATCAACTAAAGATTACGTTTGAAATCATTTTACATCAGGAGTTTTGTAAAGGTGAGACGAAAGTTTTTCATATAGTGTCTTATTTTTAATAGTAAAAACTTTATCTAATACTTCGATTCCGTATTTTTTTACAATTTAGATTATTGCTATAATTTGAAATTTATTTAAATAGTTCTTCTCTGTTCAGAAATCAACATGAAAGTAAACAATATTTAGTAGAAATAGACAAATCACTTGATCATTTCGAGTTTTTTTCGCTTATCAGAGAACTCTTTTTCTTATGCAAAATTCAACATCTTGTAATTTCGAGTATTTTATGATATATTGTCTTGAATTGTTTTTTATTTCATACACGAGATTTCCAAAAACGCATCGAACTCCCAAATTAATTATTATTATTTCAGTGAAATATCAACTGATTATGGAGATGATCAGAACTATATTTCACCTTTGAATACATAATATTGAGAGATCATAGATATGTCCGAATATGTTCTTTTCTTCGAGAAAAACTGTTAATCTTAACAAAATGTCATTTTTCTCGCATGTTACGTGTCAGTTGTCCCTTGTTGCACTTCATTCCACTGATTTCCCATTTGACTATTCTATTCATCCAACAGATATGATCACTAATCAGTATAAAAACGAATTTCTTATTTTGTCTTCTATAACATGTGAAATCAATCATAGATGTCTTATTTTTCTGTGAGTATCGTATTTAGCTTGTAAACAAGAAAATGAAACAATCTTTGTATAAGAAAAATGTAAATGACATTCTTTGATGAATATGATCAAGTATTTTTATTCCATTATGATTCTTTAGAATAAAAGAAATATATATTCTGACATTTTACGTATAAGTCATATATATCAAATTTATGCGAATCATTTGCACTGATTTTTTGACCGTATCAGAACATTGATTAAACGAAACTAATGAGGAAATAAGTAAAGTATGTGTTGTAGAACGTTATGATTTCTTTCATGCTTACTAACCGTAGCAAAACCTTCAAAAAAACTGTTTTCTAGCGTCCTCTATTGTTCATATGAGTTTGAGTACTGGAATTTATTTTAAAATCTTTTCTAGAATTAATTATTGTAAAAAATAAATTCTGGAATTTTTTTTAAATTTATGAATTCTTTTGTAAATGATTGGTGAGCAAGATGCTTATCGATACTTACAAGGATGTTCCAGGCAATCGACACGACTAACTACAGGACGCGTGTCTGTACGTGTATATCTATGGGTGCATTTGATGTTCTAAAAAATTTTAAATGAATCATCTTCTTTTACAAACTGTTAGTACATTCATTATTATCTATATTTTTTACTCTAGATTGTCATGCATCAGTCTAGTGTGACTCGTCGGCCATCGACTTCAAAACTAGTTTTGGAACATCCATGGGCGAAAACGAGAGAAGATATTTCCACTTATTATTCAGTAGATGAGACAACAGGTCTCTCAGAAGAACGAGTTAGACAAGACCTTGAAAAATACGGGCCTAATGGTAAATAAAAAATTAAACTATATTTGAGATAATTCTATTATTCTTTTCTTATAGAGCTGCCAGCTGAGGAGGGTAAACCCCTTTGGAAACTTATTTTAGAACAATTCGACGATCTTCTAGTCAAAATTTTACTTGCTGCTGCTTGCATTTCATTCGTAAGTTTTCACATTCATATCATTTCATCAAACACTATTTATCTCTCTTTTTTCTAAAAAAAAGGTTTTAGCATTATTTGAAGAACATAAAGAAGACGAAAATATCCTAACAGCTTTTGTTGAACCACTTGTCATTCTTCTCATTCTCATTGCAAACGCAACTGTTGGTGTTTGGCAAGTAAGTCAACTCTACCATATGCTATTATTTTCTTTTTTCTAAACACATACGATATGTTTGATTTGATTAGGAACGTAATGCTGAAAGTGCTATCGAAGCACTAAAAGAATATGAACCAGAAATAGCTAAAGTTGTTCGACAAAATCGACCTGGACAAGTTCAACGAATTAAAGCTCGAGAACTTGTACCTGGTGATGTTGTTGAAGTAGCTGTGGGTGATAAAGTACCAGCTGATATTCGTTTAACTACAATCTATTCAACTACACTTCGTGTTGATCAAGCATTATTAACGGGTGAAAGTGTATCTATCATTAAACATACGGATGCAATACCTGATCCACGTGCCGTCAATCAAGATAAGAAGAATATTTTATTTTCTGTAAGATTAACGACTTGAAATATAATCTATGACGTATTTTTATTTGACTATAGGGAACAAATGTTGCAGCAGGAAAATGTCGTGGTATTGTTATTGGAACTGGCTTAAATACCGAAATTGGTAAGTAATAAGCGCAGCACTTTATTTCATTAACTGGACACTTTACAAAAAAGTTTCTCTGTCAAAATTTGTTCTATCTTCTTACTGGAACTAATCAATAAGCAAACTTCTTCAACTACTCTACTTTGAATTATTTCTATTTCAGGTAAAATTCAAACGGTTATGTCTGAAGCTGAAGAAGAAAAAACACCATTACAACAAAAACTAGATGAATTCGGTGAACAACTATCAAAAGTATGTCCATTTCATTCATCAATCAAATACATCCACAAATATTTACTTTTCTCTTCTTTCCAAGGTCATTACTGTCATTTGTATTGCTGTATGGGCTATTAATATTGGTCATTTCAATGATCCCGTTCATGGTGGTTCATGGTTTCGTGGTGCTATCTACTATTTTAAAATCGCTGTTGCTCTTGGTTTGTTTATTTATACTATGTTCTCTTATTTCTCTTTATCACATTTCATTTGTTTTTTAGCTGTCGCTGCTATACCTGAAGGTTTACCAGCAGTTATCACAACTTGTCTTGCATTAGGAACACGTCGAATGGCTAAAAAGAATGCAATTGTTCGTTCATTACCATCTGTCGAAACACTTGGTTGTACATCAGTTATTTGTTCGGATAAAACAGGAACATTAACAACAAATCAAATGTCTGTTTGTCGAGTATGACATATTTTTATTTTATTTATCTATTTCTACATAATATGTATACATATATGTTTAGATGTTCATATTCAACAAAGCTAGTGGAAAAGATATTCAAATTGATCAATTTGAAATTACTGGTTCAACTTATGAACCAAAAGGTGATATTTTATTTGATGGAGAAAAATATAACTGTACTGATCGAAGTGGATTGGTTGAACTTGCAGAATGTGCAGCATTATGTAATGATTCAGCATTAGATTATAATGAAGTGAGTTATTGACTTCACATGTGTTGTATTTGAAAATATTTGTTTTGTTTTGTTTTTTATAGACAAAGAAAGTATTTGAAAAAGTTGGTGAAGCAACAGAAACAGCATTGACTGTTCTTGTGGAAAAGATGAATGTGTTCAATACGAATAAATCACAATTATCACCACATGAACTAGCTATGGCTTCGAATACAGTCATTCGTCAAAAATATCGAAAAGACTTTACATTAGAATTCTCACGAGATCGAAAATCGATGTCGACTTATGTGACACCAACAGCGCAAGGTGCTAGTGGTGGTCAGAATCCAAAAATGTTTGTTAAA